CGAGGGCTCTATCTTGAGGGTTGTTGCTGGGAGCAAATGAGATAATGCCTATTCATTTTTAGGCTGCAAACTTTTCTTTATTTAAATGTTGAGGGACAAAAATAATTGTGGAGTTATAGGTAATCAACAATGTTAGAGAGCGACTGGAGGTAGGAGAGAGAACCCCCACAGGGGGCTATATGGAGAGTTGAGTGGCTCCAGGGAACTCATTAAAAGTTTGTTTGGTAATCATTAAGTTGCATTGAAATGTATGCAAATTACTGCTCAGACTCTGGCAGTGAAAAAAGCTGCTTAGGGCACTGGAGAGGCAGGTCCCTATCCCAAGTTGCCTTTGGCAGCACCTGTGAGACCATTAAACACACACACACACACACACCCACACACAAACAGAAGAGCACTGCTCCCAGGAGATTCACAAAGTTCTGGAACTCAGGGTCAAGGACACTCTGGGCTCCCATGTTCTCTGGCGATCTCTCAGGATGAGAACAGCCACATTTCTCGGTTCTTGCATTGTCTTTCACTTCCAGCTTTGGTAACCTTGGCCCGTGTCCCCTTCCTCTCTTTCTCTTTTCTTCATGGTGACAGCGCAGACATGGAACGAGCCAGTTGGGCTCAAAGGGTCCCAGCCGCTCAGCCGGTAGCCACTGAGCGCTGGCCTCCTTGCGTTCCGGGGAGTTGACCTGGGTTGTGTCGCTCCCAGGGTTTCTTCACAGTCGGTTTGATCTGATACTCGTTGGTCTTGGCATGCTCGATGAACCTTGTGTGTGACTGTCTTTGGTCCTCTCTGCCAGGCAGGCTTTTCAGGCAGGTGGAATGTGATGATGGCGTAGTGGTCCTGGGCCAAGAAAGGTGGGTGAGGAGCAGACCTTTTATTCTGTGGCACTATCAGTAGGTGTTTTTTAAAGAAACTTATTTTTACTGGACAGGCAGATTTTACAGAGAGGAGACACACAGAGATCTTTTAACCGTTTTTTTTCACTCCAAAGGACCGTGCTGGGAGCTGGCTATTCAGGGACTCACCACAAGAGGGCAATGTGGTTTCACTTGAATTAAGCCAGGATTGGGTGTAGTTGGAAGAGGGGGAAAAAACCTTTCCTTTTTTGGTCTATTTTTGGACTCTGTTCCCTCCTATATATATATTTTAATTTTAATTTTTAAAAACTCATTGTAACTGGGGCCAGCAATGTGGCGTAGTAGCTAAGGGCCACGGCTTGTCTGGGTTGCCATCTCGTGTGACTGCCCGTTGGTGTCTTGGCTGCTCCACTTCAGATCCAGCTCCCTGCTAGTGGCCTGGGAAAGCAGCAGAGGACGGAAGACAAGGATGAAGCTCCTGGCTTTGGCCTGGCCCAGCGTTGCTTTTTGTGACCATCTGGGGAACGGACAAGTGGGTGGAAGATCTCTCTCTCTGTCTTTCCCTCTCTGTGTTTAACTCTGACTGTCAAAACAAGTAAATAAATCTTAAAAATGAATTTCATTGTAATTTAAAAAAAGATTTATTTATTTTTATTGGAAAGTCAGATTTACAGAGAGAAGGAAAGACAGATCTTCCATCTGCTGGTTCATTCTCCCAAGTGGCCACAATAGTGGGAGCTGAGCTGATCTAAAGCCAGGAGCCCTGAGCCTCCTCTGGGTCTCCCACGCAGGCTTTGGGTCATCCTCAACTGCTTTCCCAGGCCATAAGCAGAGAGCTGGAAGGGAAGTGGAGCTGCCGGGAAATGAACCAATATCCATACGATATCCTGGTGCATGCAAAGTTGGGATGTTAGCCACTAGGCTATTGAAGTGGGCCCAACTTCAATTGTAACTTAAATGTACAAAAATGTCAAACTTGGGGAACCTGGAAACAACCCCAGGACTCACCACTCTGGGCTCTGTTGCAGCCCTTCTGCCATGTGAGCGTTTGAAAAAGCACTGACAGCTGAAAACATCCACGATTGGCCAAATTAGAGAAACTAAGCCACTGGGGCTGGCGCTTTGGCTTAGCAAGTCAAGCCTTTTCCTGTAGCACCAGCGTCCCTCATGGTCACCTGTTCAAGACCTGATGACCCCACTTCATCCAGCTCCCTGCCATCATTCCTGGGGAAGCAGTGAAAGAGGGCCTAAGTGCTCGAGCCCCCGCATCCGTGTGGGAGACCCAGAAGAAGCTCTTGGCTCCTGGCTGCAGCTTGGCTCAGCTCTAGTCATTGTGGCCATTTGGAGCGGCCAATGGATGGAAGTCCTCTCTTTCTGTCTCCCCCTCTCCATCTACCTTTGCCTTTCAAATAAATAATTTTTAAGCAAAAAAATTAAGTCATAGGCATTTCCAAAGATGTAAAGTGGTGCAATTGGCTAAAAGGAATTAAACATAAAAAATATAAAGATAAATTGCATTTTAATATTTATATGTGTTTTCCCTGTTTTATTACCAGTGAATCTAAAATTAAAAAAAAATAAGACAAAACCATTCCACTCAGAGATTATCATTGTTAACACTTTGATATCTATCTAACTTAATACATATATTTCAATGAATGTAATTTTTACCTCTTAGCAATTTTCCATAGTTTTATTTCCACCTCAGTAAACAAATTTAAAGAATAATATTTTATCTTATACACTGTGAATGTCTGCCACAGCTGGGGTTGAGCACAGCTTCTGAAGCCAGGAGCCAGGAGCTCCGTCTGAATCTCCCATGTGCTTGGCAGGGACTTGGGCCGTCCCTGCTGCCTCCTGCATTTATAGGAAGCCACCTTGGACAGGGAGGGCCCAGCACATTGGCTCAGTGGCTAAATCCTCAACTTGCACATGCCAGGATCCCATACAGGTGCTGGTTTGTATCCTGGCCTCTCTACTTGCCATCCAGCTCCCTGCTTGTGACCTGGGGAAGCAGTTGAGGATGGCCCAGAGCCTTGGGACCCTGCACCTGTGTGGGAGACTGGAGGAGGCTCCTGGCACCTGGCTTTGGATGGGGTTAGCTCTGGCTATTACAACTACTTGGGGAGTGAACCAGTGGATGGAAGATCTTTCTCTTTGTCTCTCCTTCTTTGTAAAATCTGCCTTTTCAATAAAAATAATTCATTTTTCTTTTTTTTTTTTTTTTAGAAAAAAGGAAGTGCACAGGAACCAGGACACAAATTAAGCACTCAGGTAGGGGCGTGGCATCCCAACAGCACTTACCCCACTGCTCCTTGATACTTGCCCCTAATATTTTATTTTGCAATAGTTTTATACTTAGAAAAAAATTGCTGAGACAGTACCCAGAATTTCTGTGTACTTCACACCCAATTTCCTCTGCTAATAGCCCCTTAAACTATTATGGTGCATTGGTCATGATTAATGAGCCAGTGTAGTCTTCTTAACTAAAATGAGGCAGATGTCCTTAGCTGTTCCAGGAGCCCCACTGGGAATGGGATGGCATGGTACTTGTCATATCATATTGCCTTAGTTTCTCAGACTTCTTCTTTCTTTCTTTTTTAAAAATAAGATTTATTTTATTTTTACTTGAAGTGCAGAGCCGCTATGGCCAGAGTTGAGCTGCTCTGAAACCAGGAGCTTCTTTGGGGTCTCTCATGTGGGTGCAGGGGCCCAAGGACATGGACCCTCCTCTGGTGCTTTCCCAGGCCATAGATGGGCATCTGAATTGGAACTGGAGAGTCAGGTTATAAACTGGAGTCCACATGGGATCCCAGCGCCACAGGCAGAGACGTGGCCTCCTACCCCGCCCTGGACGTTCTTTGCTTTTGATGACTATGTTGACTTCAGTGGGTGTTGGCAGAGATTCTCTGACGTATGCATGTTCTAGAATTTGTGTGATGTTTTTCTCCTGCTCAGTCTGGGCTTATGGGCTTTGGGAGGAAGGCCTTGGGATTGCTCTCACTACATTGTGCCAAAGGCGCTGTATCATCAACATGGTTTATCTCTGTTGACAGACCTCGGTCACCTGGTGAAGGGGTGTCCACTCTTTCTCCTCCCTGCCTCCTTGAAACACAATGCATAAACCCACACTTGAGGAGTCACTTTGGTGTGCTTTCTTTCTTGGAGAAAAAACTGTTTATATAAATTATATGACATCAGTATTGTTTAAAAAGATTGATATATTTGAAAGACAGAGACTGGGCCTGGGGGGCAGGAACCCATGTATGCCACCCCAGGCACATGAGCAGGAAGCTGGATTGGAAATGGATTATCCAGAACCCAAACTGGTGCTTGGGTATGGGACACAGCTTAACCAATGCCTTCCCTGAAATATGTCACAAATAAGCTTTTGTATCTTAAAGCAAACAAGCCTGCTTTGTGTCAGGCAGGCCTGCGTGGATTTGATCCCATAGCTGTGAAGAGAATGGCTTTCTTGCTTAGGTGACATGTGGATCTCGAAGGACCTGCAGAGTCCCTTGGGTCCTCCCTCGCTGAGTTCTTCATGCTCAGGCATCTCCGGGGTCACCCTGTCACCTGCTTGCTGTGGCGGATGCTCCAGCTAAGATGTCAGCATGTTTCCCATCCTTTCAAGGACGTTGAGGCTGACCTCTGAGCTCTCGGTTGTTGCTCCGGTGGACACCGCAGACCCAGGCTGGTGGCAGGGAGCTTATGCATGGCGGGTGTGGCTGCAGAAAGTCCCTGGATACTCCTCTTCCCATTCGCTACCTCCCTGCGCTCTGGGAAGCAGGCTCCTGGGGGCCTGGAGCGCTGCCATGTGCCATGGGGGAGGACCGTGGGGACCCCGCTGCAGGGAAAAGCCCCCTGCCTTCTCCTCCCCAAAGCCCGGGGCGTTGCTTCTTCCTCGGGCTCTTGGCAGACCCGTTTTCCCGCCGGCTGTCTTTCTCCTGTGGGTTCCTTCAGCTCTCTCCTCCCGCGTTTGCCCTCCTACTGTCGTGCCAGTGCCAGCGCTTTGCTCCCAAACTCAGAACCCTGCCAGCTCCTACACCCCCAAGGCGGGCTATTTCTGCGACCTTGGCCTGGCTGGCTGGCTCCTTGGTGCGCCTGGGCCTTTCTTTGGCAGCTCTCTCTGGTGTGGCCTTGGGGACATGACGGGGATCAGCAACCACACAGTGGTGACGCAGTTTATTCTGTTGGGGTTCTCAGGTTCCGGGTCCCTCCGGCGGCCTCTGTTCTTGGGGGTGCTTGGCGTCTATTTGGTCACTTTGCTAGGCAACTCGCTCATCATCCTGCTCACCCTGGTGGACCCGGCCCTGCGCTCGCCCATGTACTTCTTCCTGCGTCACCTGTCGCTGGTGGAGGTCCTCTACACCACCACCATCGTGCCCAGGATGCTGGCGGACCTCCGCTCCACCTGCCCCACCATCCCGCGCGCCGCCTGCTTCGTCCAGCTCTACTTCTTCGCGCTACTGGGCATTACAGAGTGCTGCCTGCTCGCGGCCATGGCTTTCGACCGCTACGCAGCCATCTGCCGGCCGCTGAGCTACACCACCCTCATGAACCAGGGCGTCTGCGCCAGCCTGGTGGGCGCCTCCTACTTCATGGGTGTAGTGGCCGGTACCACGCACTCTGTCTTCATCTTCACATTGCCCTTCCACGGTGCAAATACTATCCACCACTTCCTGTGTGACATCCTGCCCGTGCTGCGACTGGCCAGTGCCAGCACCTTCTGGGGTGAGGTGGGGAACCTAGCCGTCACCATCGCTTTCATCTTGACCCCTTTCTCACTGATCGTGGCTTCCTATGCCTGTATCCTTTTCTCCATCCTTAGGGTCTCCACAGCCCAGGGCCGGCGCAAAGTCTTCTCCACCTGTTCCTCCCACTTATTTGTGGTTGTGCTCTTTTTTGGAACTGGGACTATCGCCTACTTGAGGCCTCAGGCAGGCCCCTCCCAGGACTCGGACCAGATTCTGGCTGTCTTCTACACGGTGGTCACTCCCGTGTTCAACCCCTTTGTCTACACCCTGAGGAACAAGGAGGTCACGAGGGCCATGAAGCGGCTTGGGCAGCGATACCTTTGCAGTTCTTGATCCCTGGAGCTCCTGGAGAAAAGGACCTGGGACGTTTTCCAGGAGGGTGGAGAAGCTGGGACCTGCAGGCAGCAAGGCCTGGCCATGCTCTGTGTACATGCATAAGTGTAAGTGTAGGGTCTCTCTGCATCCAACATCAGGTCCCAGGGCACCCACCTGCTGCTCCTTCCACTTCTCTGGCCTGCTCCCATGACCTTGGCCTGGCTTGTGGGTGGGTTCAGGGCTGGAGAAACAGACCGCTGAAGGAAGGCGGAACAGGGAGCGTGGCTGTGAGAATCCTGTGAGGTGACTGCAGCCCCTGCACTTCCGGGGCTGTGGTCCCCGAGCCTCTCCCACGGATGCCTTGGTGCAGCCATTCTGTCCCAGCAGTCTTGTCTGCAGCCGCTGGTGATCTTTCCCTGCAGGTGCAGGGCTCCACCGGGGGGCTGGGGGCAGAGAAGGGCCAGGGGCCAGCTTGGTGCTGCTTTCTGCCTGGTGCTGTCCACCCAGGGCCTGAACAGCTGATGCACACTCCTCATCTGGGCTCCCTGAGGTGCCGGTGTCTCTGAGCAGCTTCTCCCCTCCTCTCCCTACTTCCTCCCACTCCCCTTGCCCCTTTTTGACTGGCAAGCTCATCATTTCCTCTTCCTTCCTCTCTCTTCCCTGGCTTCTTTTCTGGCTGGACCAAGCTGGCCCTTGGACTGCCCAACCAACACAGCAGTGCCTCGCAGATGGTCACTGCTTCTGTTTGGAGCAGAAGACTTCATTTGCAGTTTGTTTATTAATGCTTTATTTTTGTCTATCTATCTATCTTTATTTATTTATTTTAAATTTGAAAGGCAAAGAGAGAGAAATGCCCACAACAGTCAGGACGGGGGCAGGCTGAAGCCAGGAGCCCAGAACTCCATCTGGGTTCCCAGGTGAGTGGCAGAGATCCAAACACGTGAGCCGTCATTGATTGCCTCCCGGGGTCTGTATTAACAGGAGGCTGGGGCAGGAGTGGGGAAGCTGAGACTCCAGGATGCACTACAAACTCTGGTTTGTTCACGAAGGGTTAAGGTTAGGCACTGAGCCTCAGGAAGGAACACAGCAGGAGAAGTGACTGTGACCCAGGCCATAGGACCCAGGCCACAGGACCTTTGAAACAACATCGCTTTTCCTTTCCAGGCTATAGCCGCTACACTCACTGCTCATTGCGCAGAAGTTTGTGTCCCGAAGAAAAGAGAAGAACTATTAACTTTGGGTGTGAATCATGTCCTTGGGAAATTACTGTGGCCTGGTCTAAATGCACGACTAAAGAAAAAAAAAAGCTGAAAATGGCATTTAACTGCCTACACTGCTTCCTATTTTGCACTTATTTTGCACTTTAACACACCACATTGTGAAGCACCGTTTTAACATCCATCTGGTAGCCTACTCTAGGAATGTTTCGAAATGTTGAGCCATCTTCTCTCAATGGGATGACATTTATTTTTGTTATAAATATTGGTGAAAGAGAAATTGTTGCACTTATGTATCTTGGGCTTTTATGAGCACAAACTTCTAGAAGTAGAATTGCTGGGCCCACGTTATGGGGATGGTTTAGAGCTTTTGTCAAATTGCCTGCCACAAGAATTTTTATTGTTTTACAGCCCAGTTGAATGCCTTTCTCCAACAATTCTCAGGGCAGGGAATTGGACTAAGAGTCAGAAATAAGTTAGGATCCAACGGCCGTGGGCAGGAAGGCGTGGTGGAGTCTGGGTAGCTATGTCTGTGCTCGCTGGCAGCAGACACTCGCTTCTGTTTGTTGAGGCCGCGAGTCCCCGAGGAGGTGCTTTCTGTGGGGTCAGCATCTGAGCATGAGGAGGTGAGGCTTTGGCCTTTTCCTCTTCGTTCTGAACTCATCGTGGAGCTGGACAAGCTAGAGCTGGTGCGTGGGAGTCCTGGGCTTCTTGCTGGTGGTGATCTGCAGCTCTGGGTGCTGAGCTTCCTGTTTTCAGGAAGAATTGCCCGATGAAATTACAGCACGGCCACTGCAGTCTGAGTTCCGGATCACTGAGTCGGGGTTTGGTACAAGTGTGTCCTTGGAAGTGTTCAACTAGACCTCTGTATCTTGCTGGAGAATGAGTGAAATGTTTGGGATGTGTTTAACACACACATACAAGTTCATTGTTTATCAGAAATTCAAATGTAGCCAGGTGTAAAATCTGGCAGTCCTGACTCCAGCCCTGCCTAGTGAGAGAGGAACATCTCAGGAGGAAGTTCCAGGGACTCTGTGTGAGAAGGAGGAAGCTGCCGGGCAACTGCAGCAGCTCCTTTGGCCACGAGCCCCGGTGGGAGCAGAGCCCTGCTCTCAGAACTTGTACATGCAGAAGAGTCTGCGAAGGAGGGGGCGGGGGAAGCCGTGTCGTCCTTAGGGATAAGGGTCATCTACGTGTGCAGCAGGGGCCTTTCTTATACTGGAAATTGGAAGACTGGAGAATAAGGGACGGGTCTGGAATGGTTGATCAGAGGCTGCATTGCAGTGGGTGACACTGCAATGGGGCTGGAGACTTGGCTCTGACCTTGGCAGGTACAATATCAAATCCTGATCATCATTTACTCAGAAATGTCCCTGCTCTCATAGGACTCAGACTGGGGCAGGTGAGGATGGGGGAATGGTGTGAAGAGAAAGCAGAACGGTAGAAATGTGCATAACGGTAACAATGAGGACGCCTACTTGTGGACTGGGAAGTTAACGATTACTAACAGTTTCAGGGAGCCCCAGTTATGACTCAGCAGATTGTCACCTCCTCTGCTGCTGGCGTCCCATATGGGTGCTAGTTCATGTCCCCACTGCTCCACTTCCCATCTAGCTCCCTGCTAGTGAGCCTGGGGAAAGCAGAAGAAGATAGCCCAAGTGTTTGGGCCCCTGCCACTCATGTGGGAGACCCAGATGAAGCTGCAGGCTCCTGGCTTCAGCCTGGCCCAGCTCTAGTTAACTGCAGTCATTTGGGGAGTGAACCAGTGTATGGAAGATCTCATTCTGTCTCTCCTTCTCTCTCTATAAGTCTGCCTTTCAAATAAACAAATCTCAAAAACGATTTAGTAAACAATCTCTAAGAAGAATAAGTAAGAGTTTGGAGTGATCCTGGAGGAAGTAGCTGAATGTGCCTGTATTTCTCATAAACAAATCGCTAACACTTGATTGGTCCAAGGAAGATCAATTAGACAGAATTCAGAGGTATCAAGTCATGCTTGGTGCAATAAAACAATCACTTGCAATCTCTTATTGATGTGTAGCTATAAAGAAAATTAAACACACAGTGCAGGGAAGACTTTACCTACAGGTTTTTATCTAAAACTTACCATGGTTTCTCTGTAAGTATAATTTTTACCCTATATTAGACTGTGTGCTTGAATAATGGCTCAACACTTCTTGATGAAGAACGTTTGCACCGAGGCCCACAGCACAGCAGGGTAAGCCCCTGCATGCAATGCCAGCATCCCATATCAGATCCGCATCTGTAGCCAAGTGCGTGAGGCATCACTTCCTGGAGTCTGTGGTGAAGAAGGAAGCTGGAGCTTGGAGCTGAGTGTCGCACTCAGACACTCTGGTACCAGCTGTGGGTGTCCTGCCTGGCGAGTCGACTGCCAGACCATACTTCTAGGCCCACACCGTGCTCCTAAAGTGGGGAATTCTCCAATCGTTGAAAGAGGGTCAAGAGGGATGGCCACATCAGTGCCGAGGGTCCACTCTCTGGATCCTACCTCAGATGGCTGAGGGCCTCGCCTGCCCTGGGGGACCAAGCTGATGGTGCAGGTCGGCAGGAGGACAGCGACGTTGCAGGGACCCCCCTGTCTAGTCAGTCTTGGTGGATGACATCAGAGCCCAGGGTGGGAGGGCAGAGAGTGGGGTTCCTGAGCACTGCCGAAAGGGGAGCAGGCTCAGCAGTTTGGGAGGCCTGAGGGTGGACTGATTTCTGAATCTCACTAGGGGTCACTTAGAACATGGACTCTGAGTTTATGAAATGACTCCATGAGCACAATCCTATTTGAGCTATTCATTTAATAAGTCAACATTTGTTTCATTACTTACAGAGTGATGGGGCTGAGTCCTCTTCCCCTACAACTTAGAGGTGAATGAAGGCAACTGGAAAAGAACTATAATTTAGGGCCCAGTGTGGTAGCCTGGTGGCTAAAGTCCTTACCTTGCAGGCATCAGGATCCCATATGGGTGCCGGTTCATATCTGGTGGCCTTGTTTCCCATCCAGTTCTACACTGCTTGTGGTCTGGGAGAGCAGTTGAGGATAGCCTAAAGCCTTGGGAACCTGTGTCTGCAAGGGAGACCTGGAAGAAGCTCCTGACTCCTGGCTTTGAATTGGCTCAACTCTGGCCTTTGTGTTGAGGCCGCTTGGGGAGTGAGCTAGCAGATGGAGCTCCTTCTTCTCTTTCCTTTTATCTGTAAATCTGCCTTTCAAATAAAAATAAGTAAATCTGTGGCTGAGCAATGGACCCCTGCGGTTCTCAGACGGCACAGAGAAAGCTGTCTCTCTCACACACTCGGGTTGTAATTGCTTGGGGCCTGGGTTGTGGTACAACTGGTTAAGCTGCCCCCTGCAGCACCTGCATCGCGTGTAGGTGCCTGTCTGAGTCCCAGCTATTCAATTCTGATCGAGGTCCCTGCTAATGTGCTTAGTGAAGCAGTGGGTGATGATACAAGTGCTTGGACCCATTTACTCCTGCGGGAGACCAGGAAGAAGCTCCAGGCTCCTGGCCTGATCCAGCCTTGGCCATCATGACCACTTGGAGAGTGAGCCAGAGAATGGAAAATCTTTCTTTGTTTCTTCTTCTTTTTCAGTAACTCTGCCTTTTCTTTTCTCTTGTTTTCTTTTTAAAAACATTTATTTATTTTTTACTGGAAAGGCAAAGAGAAGAGATACAGAGAAAGAGATCTTCCATCTGTTGGTTCACTCTGCAAGTGGCTGGAGCTGAGCCAATCGGAAACTAGGAGCCAAGAACTTCTTCCAGGGAGTTGGATGGGAAGTGGAGCAGCTGGGATACGAACCGGCATCCATATGGGATCCCAGCGGTTGCCAGATGAGGATTTAGCCACTAGGCTATTGTGCCAAGCCCACTCTGCCTTTTCAAAAAATAAAAAATAAATCTTAAAAAAAGAGAAACAACCAAGAATTGCAGGTCCTAGATGCCAGTGTGGCACAGGCATAACACAGCCAAGGTGGCCCCACACCACTCAGCTGCTGCTGGGCCTGCACTGAGGTGGGAGTCTGAGGATTGGCTAGGGAAGGGGTTTTGGGGGTGTGTGGGGGTGGGACCACCAAGAGAGTGTTTGACAGGTGAGGGAATGACTTCTGATGGATTGTAAGGACTAGGCCACTGTACTTGCAGGTGAAAAATTGCTGTGGGTGGTGGTGGGAGCCTCCATGGACCAGGCCACTACACTTGCAGGTAAATGAACTGAAATGGGAGTGACTTGGCAGTGGGAAACTGGAGGGCATGTTTGGGTTATACCTAGGTACCCATCCATGTGGGCGCCAGTTCTAATCCCTGTCAGCTCCCTGCTTGTGGCCTGGGAAAGCAGTCGAGGATGGCCCAAAGATTTGGGACCCTGCACCCATGTGGGGAGACTTGGAGGAAGATCCTGGCACATTCAAGGCAAGGACTTTAGTTGCTAGGCCACGGCACTGGGGCATTGCTTCTATTGGTGAGGGTGAGAGCTTTGCCTGGGGTGGACCGGAATGGGATGGACAGGGCTGCAGCACCCGTTGGTTGGGATGTGGGCTGGACATGGGGATGGATCAGGCTGGGCTGAGTTGTCACAAGCTGGTGCATTCAAGAGCCAGAATAGCTGCGGGTTAGCAGGGCTTTATCACAGCATTCCCTGTCAAGAGTTGGGACTGGGTACAACTCGTATCAGGTTAGACCATAGTACCCGTGGCAAATGCAAAGTCTGGGGATGGGAGTAGGTTGTGGTAGGGGAAGTGTGGGCACTCCCTTGCTAGGCTGCAGCTCCTTCTGGTGAGCATGAGAGTCAGGGCTGGGGGCAGACCAGGCTGGATAAGATAGCAGTGGCCATCGGCATACAGATATGGGAGAGGGTGGACTGAGCTAAGTCACAGATGGGACAGAGAACATGCTGGGCTAAACTGCATTATATGCTGGCACATAAACCAGGGCTGGGGCAGGTTCGGTGAAGGTTGTTGGGGGTTGCTCTGACTAGCCACATCACCTGCTGGTGTGCATCAAGTTGGGGCCTGTGGCAGGCTAGGATGGGCTCATCAGTTCGTGTGAGAGATGAGACTGGGAGCAGAACTGACCAGGAAGCTGCATCCACTGGTATGTGCGCTGGCTGGTGCAGGTGATGAGTTGGGCCTAACTCTGCACTAGCTGGAGCATGTAAGAATCAAGTCTGAGGTCACCCCAGGTGAGACTTTTTGGGGAACTCCCTAACTATATTGATAGATTCAAACCCTGACCACAGAGAAAAAAAAACACAGTACATGCGATCCAAACTTGAGTAAGTGTGTTGGGACTGGGCCTCCTCAGTTGCTGATGCCTGTGCGGTGGACAGACTTCCCAGGTGGATTCAGGGGATCATAACAGCCAGATCATCTAGGCCAGCAGAGGCTGTTGAGTACCTGGTCAGTAGATGGAAAACAGGACAGGCAAAAACACCTTCCTGGGCAAGCTTTGCGACATGTTCCTGGGCCTGTGGATGCACGAAGGTGGCCTTGGTCAACCAACAGATCTTGGAAAGATTTTTCTCAACCCTAGTGCAACAAAGACACTGATGCCTGAGAACTATCAAATCCATTCAAGTAACACCCTTGGAACACTTCCTCTCTGCGGTCTCTAGGGCATCAGATGACCATCCTCCCACCCCTAGGGCTGATGTAGTTTGACAGCAAGAAGCATCCCTCTTTCCTTTCCTTCCTTCCACCCCCATCCCCCGACACCGGAGAAAAGAAAGACAAAAATTGAAATATTTGTCCCACTCACCTTCCTCCATACTTCAACCCTCCCCATCCTAATCTGAGGCCAGATGGGTTTGCAGCCTTTCCAACTATGTAAACAATATTAAAAAAAGAGGAAAAATAAATTGCAATTCCTTGTAATATGGTGGCATAAGTGGGGGTGGGGAGGGGAGAATAATGGGGTGTGTTTGACATAACAAAGTTTCAACCAGACTTCTTGAGTTGTTCCCAAAGGCAGCAATGTTCCTATTCTCCCTTCTCCTAATCGTCTGTGCTTTGGGATATAGAACGGACGGTGAGACACAAAATTAGCTTTGTTTTAACTCTGGCACTTTTTTTGCCAGGCCTTGCTTCTTTGGGAGGGTGCATGGGGTTAAGGTCACCGGAAGGCAGGGAGGAGCGGTCCGGGCGGGACATCCCTGGAGCCGGTCAGGGCGAGGGGTCGGCCTCATCACCATCTGCCGCAGGGCCCCTGCCACCTCCTTGTTGCGGAGAGTGTAGATGACCGGGTTGAGCATGGGTGTGACCACCGTGTAGAAGAGGCTGAGCACGCGGTCTGCGGTCGCCGAGGAGCCTGCCCGGGGTCGGATGTAGGTGATGCTGGCCGACCCGAAGAAGAGTGAGACCACAAGCAGGTGGGAGGAGCAGGTGGAGAAGACTTTGCGGCGGCTGTGGGTGGAGGCCATCGCCAGGATGGCTCTCAGGATACGGGCGTACGAGGTGACTATGAGTGAGAAGGGGACCATGATGAAGACCACGGTGGCTGTCATCACAGAGATCTCACTCCTGTGCTTGCCAGCACTCGCCAACCTCAGTACCGGCAGGATGTCACAGAGGAAGTGTGGGATGATCGGGTGCCTGGGGAAAGGCAGGGTGAAGATGAGGGAGGAGTGGGTGGTGGCCGTGACGAGGCCCATGAGCCAGGAGGTGCCCACCATGGCCACACAGGCCCGCTGGCTCATGAGGGTGGTGTAATGCAGGGGCCGGCAGATGGCGGCGTAGCGGTCATAGGCCATGGCTGTGAGCAGGCAGCACTCGGCGATGCCCAGGACTATGAAGACGTACATCTGGGTCGCGCAGCCCCAAAAGGAGATGGTCCGGGGCCCCGGGGAAGCAAGATCCGTTAGAGTCCTGGGCGCGATGTCTGTGGTGTAGAGGAGCTCCACCACTGAGAGGTGGCACAGAAAGAAGTACATGGGCGAGTGTAGGGCAGGACTGGCCCGCGTGAGGAGGATGATCAGGGAGTTGCCCAGCAAGGTGACCAGGTAGACCAGAAGCACTATCCAGAACAGGGGTCCCTGCAGGAGCCCGAGGTCTGAGAACCCCAGGAGGAGGAATGTAGGCAGGCTGGTTTGGTTGCCCTGAGACATCACTCCAGGCTGGAACCTGTGGGTGGCCCAGCCAAGAGGGAAACATTACTTAGGGACATCCAACATCTGGGTAATCAGGCAAAGCACTTTTCATGCAGTCCATACTAAAACCAAGCGGGGAGGAGTTGTATCTGCTCCCCTGAAGGTAAACCTGGAGCTCAGAGATATTAAGCAATTTGATGAAATAGTAAGGAAATGGCAGGACTGAGAACTTGAACCTGAGAGATCTGGCTCTTGACTCCAAGTTCTGTGTGTCTCTTAGTATTCCCAATGCTGCTGCCCTGTGGCTGGGGTCTTCCTTCTACCTGCCACAGGCACCCTGGGAGGCCAAGGTGATGGCTCAGGTTAGCTGAGTTCCTGTCACCACGTGGGAGCGTTTGTGGGCATTTGGGGAGGGTGAATCAGCAGATGGGAGCTCTCTCATTCTCTCTCTATCTTTCAAATTAAAAAAAAAAAATTCAAAGCCCCTTGGGTGCTCACACTACTTGGAGGATATGGAACAGACCTGTTTTCAAATTCTCATAATCTTTTTCTTTTTTAAAATAATGAATTCATTTCATTCTTGATGATGTTTACATAGCGGAGAGGGATGCCTGTGTGGACCACTGATTAGGGTGAGGAGGGTCAAGAAACAGTGGGAAGTGGGTGAGCAACTGCCTCCAATGTCCTTTTTTCTTCTGGTATCTGGGGAAAGTGGATAATAGTATTACCATTTTAATAAAAATGTTAAAGAAACATTTGGACTGCTGATCCCATTACTCCAGTCCTGTTCTCTTTCTTGTGTGTTGTCCTCAAGTTATTGTCCCTCTGGGAAGCCTGTTTTAAGCACTGATGCTTGTACTGCACAGACCATCTTGGCTCCTTGCTTTCCTTTTAGTGTCTGTTGTAGTCATTTTGCCGTGGAGTCACAGAATTCTTAATGATCTCCCCCCCTTTTTTTTTCTTTAAAAAAAAAAGTTCTTGCCTCACTCCATGGAATTTCCCCACTAATTTTAACAAACATTTCCCACACTCTTGCCATTGGAGTTATTCCTGTTTCGGCACTACAGCTAATGATACGAGCAATATCTCAGGGTGGAATATGTCTGCTTGCCTCCGCACTCTTACTCCCTTGAGGGTAACTTTTCAGGTGCGGAATTGTCAGCCAACAGGATGGACACTTTGGTGCAACTTTTCCCACATCCTGCGTGTCTTTGGATGTCTCCAGCTGGACACAGTGGCCTTCTGTGTCCCTCGGCAAACCTGGCTTCTTCCTGGCCCTGTAACCTCACTACAGCTTCTCCCTCTGCACCCACTCACCCTTGCCAGACCCTGACCACCCTTCTCTCTCCCCAATGGAACTTGGCTGTGAGACACTATATCTATTGGGGATGAGAGGCCAGTGTCTTATAGATCCTCTGCTGCTCAGCGCCTGACTTCCAGGAGTCTGCTCCCACTCTGCCAGCTCCCGTTTGTAGCTTCTTGCATCTGCCACGTGTCCTGACAGAGCCAGGGCAGGCTTCAGAGGGACGTGGGCTCTGAAGCCACTATCACTTGTGCAATGCAGAGCAACAAGACAAGGGTGGGAGTGACTGGTCCCTGGGGTGCAGACAGGGGCAGGCATTTCAAGAAGTCATTTTGAAATATGCTAAAGCACATTACCAAAACGGGATCACCCTGGCTATTTTAAAAAAAAGATTTTTAGATTTATTTTTATTGCAAAGTCAGACACACAGAGAGGAGGAGAGACAGAGAAGATCTTCCATCTGCTGATTCATTCCCCAAGTGGCTGCAATGGCCAGAGATGAGCTGAGCTGAAGCCAGGAGCCAGGAGCCTCCTCTGAGTTTCCCACACGGGTTCAGAGTCCCAAGTCTTTGGGCCATCCTTGACTGTTTTCCCAGGCTACAAGCAGGGAGCTGGATGGGAAGTAGGGCTACTGGGACACGAACCGGTGCCCATATGGGATCCTGGCACATGCAATGCAAAGACTTTGGTCACTAGGCTACCACGCCAGCCCCCACTTTGGCTATTTTTGAGTGTTTAGTTGCGTTAAAGATATTCACATCACTGTGTTGTTGACAGATCTATGGAACTAAAACTCCATACCTATGAGGCAATTTTTAATTTCCACTTCCCCATGGCACTTGGAAAAATATGTGGTGTCTTTAAATAGACACAGAGAAAACCTTCCCCTAAGCTTCCAATACACCACGCAAGGCAGATTGATAAGTTTGTCAGCTAATGGGCATGTGAATGGGGCGGCTGGTGACTGTGGTTGACTAGCTAGTGGGACAGAGGACGAGACCATACATGTGTGGCCATATCTGTGAACTCTGAGTGCAGGAGATGAAATCCCTCCTGGGAAGAATGGACCAGAAAACAGTTCATGGGGGCTGGATTTAGCATCATGGGAGCTCAGTGGAGGCTGGGGAAGGGAGGAGGACAGTCCATAGAGTCAGAGAGGTTTGGGGAGTGTGGCCAGACAACTTGGTGTGTCCTTCTGTGAGTTGCTTGTTACTGTTTTTGCCTGAAGTGTTCACAGGCGCGGTGCATGGGACAGTCTGTGTATGTGTGTGTGTTGCATGTGGTGTGTGTGTGTGTGTGCACTGGGGAGACTGTAACAGCAAAGGAGGATGTTAGTAGCTGCACCTGTGGCCTCTGGGATGGGGACCATGAACCTGAGAGACCCTGACATGATCAGTGTGGGGCCTGTGATGTCCACATGTTTAGACACTGCAGGCAGACACATAGGCGAGCCTTACTTCCCTCCTTGGGCGGCCGTCCTGTTAGACACTTCAGAAGTGTGTTGTCTCTCAGTCGCTCCAGCCCTCACAGCAGATCTAATCACACATACAACACGTTCCCTAGCTCTTCCCCTGCCCTTCTCCCTGTCCAGCCGAGCTGGCTGTGTCAGGACCACAGCTCTGTAAAGCTGGAGGGGGAGATTCCTGGACTCTGTCCCTCTCATACCGTGGGCCAGGAGCGCCGAAGCTCCTAAGCCCTGAATGGCCTCAGATCTACCTCCTGCTCCTCCCCCCTCCCAGTCCTCAGCAGGGCCTCGCCAGTTCAGGGCAAGGCCCCCGGAGCTGCCCAGAGCCGTGTGGGGCACTTACCCCGGGAAGATGGCTGTACAGGGGCTGTGGGGCACAGGCGAAGCTCCGCTCTCCTCTCTCCCCTGCAGGTCACAGCCTCCGTGGTGCCCACACTCTAGCCATTGTGGTGACTCTGCCCCCTCCCTCTACCTCAGCCCTCGGGAGGGCCTGACCCTTGGGGTTTCCTTGTTTAGCCCTGAACTGAGGTACTGCCACGGGCCAGCTAATCTCGCTCAGCTCCCCAGTAGTAGTCTCTGCCTCACCTTGAGCTCATTTCCTCGGTCAGCTGGTGACCCCCGCCCCCCCTCTTTCCCGGTCACTGTCACCTTCCCACTCATGGTCACCTGGTTACAGAGAGGCTTTTTTGGAAAAAGACACATTTACTTATTTTTTTTGAAAGGCAGAGTGAGAAGGAGAAAGAGAAAGAGCCAGAAAGAGAGGAGAGAGGGAAAGAAACGGGGAGGGGGGGGAGGGAGAGAAAGAGAGAGAGAGAGAGAGAGAGAGAGAGAGAGAGAGAGAGATCTTCTATTTCTGGATCACTTCCCGAATGGTGATGACCAGAGCTAGGGTAGTCTGAAGCCAGGAGCCAGGAGTTTCTTCCAGGTCTTCCACATGAGTGCAAGGTTCTTAAGTCTTGGGCCATTATCCACTGCTTGCTAGACTGTAAGCAGGAGCTGGCTCAGAAGTGGAGTATCTGAGACTTGAACTGACATCTGTATGGGATGCTGGCACTGCAGGTGGAGGTTTACCCAGTGATGCTAGCACACTGACCCCCAATGATCAAAAAAAACTTTTTTTTTTTTAAATTTTGCTCCACATTTCAGCAGGGCTTGCCACATCAAATCCCCTTGCTTTCCCGAGACACTTTATTTCACTTCTACAACTCTAAAACATGCATCTTGTGCCTTGGCCTCTTCTTTGTCCACAACTTCCCTAGATGCATTAAGCAGGGAGCTGGATCAGAAGTGGGATGTGGATTGGTTGCCTTTACCTGTTGTGCCTAACACCTGCCCCAAAGTTTAATGATTTTTAACATTTTGGCACATGCACTTTACATGTAGAGTCATATTCAATTTCTTTGCAATACCAATCAGTTCTGTTCCAAGAAACCCCAAACCGCTCTTTCTTACCATCTTTACAGCTGAAAATCTAGCACAGCAAATTGTCTTGTGTGGGGCCATCCTACCCTTCACAGTCTGGTTCCCACTCAGCTGTGGGGTTTGTCTCCATCTCTAAGTCAGATGGTATCATTCCCCTCCCAAACCTTCCAGTAGCTCAGCAGTGTCTGATTACAGGAAGAAGTAAATGCAGACCCTTTCTATCTACTTGCAAGATGATGTGTCAGGCTGTCATTTTATCCTGATGTTTTGACATCTGGAGAGACTAACTCTCTCAAGATCGGGCAATTCACCTGCCAAGTGTGCCTTCTGTATGCCGACCAACCATCCTGGAGTCTACACCCTCAGATGCCTCCTCTACTACACTGTTACTATGGGCCAGATTGTCCTGAGCGGTCCAGATCAGGTACCAGATAACGAGAGGCAGCCTCTACATCCCAGAGCTCAGTGAGACGATCTCCCAGCTGGTTCTCTGCTGTTTAACACGCTTGCCCTGTCTTGTCCATTTCTTCCTGGAAAACCACTGCTAAGGCTCTTGCCCACAGAGGCCCCCTGTTCTCTGTGTCTCCTGATGAGCCTGTGTGATCCTGCAAGGTACAGCTTGCTCCCTGCTCAGAAACTGTGAGTTACAGACTGTCTTCTCAGTGGCAGCTGTCTCTTGGTCTGTTGCCTTTGCCATAGCAACAGCAGCTACTGCCACTACCATGTCCACTCAGCTATTGCTGCCTTTCTCTCCCTTTAATCCATGACAGGTGCTTCTCATTATTCCTTCCATCCAGTGGTTGCTACCTTAGATTCAGGTCTCAGGAC